CGAACGCTTTGCGGCGCGAACGTTTGGGCGCGAACGTTTGGCGCGAACGTTTGGCGCGAACGTTTGGGCGCGAACGTTTGGGCCGCGAACGTTTGCCGCGAACTTTTGGGCGCGAACGTTTGGGACCGCGAACGTTTGGGCGCGAACGTTTGGCGCGAACGTTTGGCGCGAACGTTTGGCGCGAACGCTTTGGCGCGCGAACGTTGGCGCCGAACGTTTGGCGCGAACGGTTTGGGCGCGAAGCGTTTGGGCGCGAACGTTTGGGCCTCGCGAACGTTGGGCGCGACAACGTTTGGGCGCGAACGTCAGCCGATTACCGATTGACGTAGGCGCCTGCTCTGCAGCAAAAGGGCACGAAGTACGGGTGGGCGCCTCAGCACCGCGCGCATGCAGCGCCAACGTCCCGCTCCGCAATCGGGCTGGTCCACCGATGCGCAGCGCCCACCGCCCGCTCCACCCCTTCCACGTCGCGACCCTCGCCGCTCGCGCGCATCAGCTCCCCCGCTAAATGCTGCGCTGCCTGGCTCCTCCATCGCCCTTCAGCACCCTCGACCGCCTCCCTACACAGCACACCCGATCGCGCGTTATGCACAGACACAAGGGCCAACGCTCGGCAGCCCTCACCGAGGGGCTTCTCTCCTCCTTGGCAGCAATTCCTCACCTCTTCTCAGCCAGAAACAGGCTCGAAAAGACAATAAACATTCTCACGTTGGATTGATTTTATCGCCAATCTCTAATAAATTTTAAAATAAAAGCCACCAATTCTCACATTATTTTCGGAAAACACATATGGGCATCAAATGAACAAACAATTTTGCGACAAATTTGTTTTATTTAGTGCACATTATATGTCGTTCACAATTTAAAACTTTTCCAAAATAGTTACAGACATGAGCCACAAATGGATTAATAGTTTTTCGAATTCCTCATAACGCAGAGCAGCGGACTTTTCATCCACTCTAGCGGGATATACACGGACCAAATTAGTGTATAAAATTGTACCAAAATATCGTTAGACGAAATTCACAACATTTTAATTTAACATAAAATAGACAATAAACATAAACAACGTAAAGTAAAAAAGTTTTATCGAACGAACCTATTTCTTCGCACATTAATCTGGTCCAATTTATTACGTACGTGTTCTACCACTATTTGGTCATATCTAGTCAATTTAATCTTGCTGCATCGCGCTGCATCCTAGACTCGCCGTTCTCGCCATTTATCATGAATTACACCTTACCAACCGAGCAAGACAATATAAGCCAAGAAATTACATAAAACACACTATCGTGTCCGCACTTATTACCTTGACAGTATACGTACTTTAATTAAGATTTTATCTTATTAGTTCCCTACGAAAACTTTCTGCACAATTTCGGACCCAATCAAACTACAAAAATCCTCAATCTTGTCGATAAATTGGTCCGCTTTATGATTCCCCTATTAATATTGATAAATTTGTAGTATAACTTTAATTAAATAATTTAATATTGATAATTTTTAGTTATCCATTTATTTTTTAAAAATACCTCGAAACTATTCATCACTTAAGTACATCTGTACTAAACTTCACATAGCATACTTCACTTTTCGAGAAATCTGTTCACATCTATAACTTGTATAAAATATACAAGAAACTCCTAGAATTTTTTTAAAAATTTTGTATAACATGTCGTTGGGAACATTCGTTTGAAGGAACTTACAATTCACATTTTTCTTTCTTTAGCATTGCACCGCACTGCCATCAGCGTTGAGGTCAATTATTTCCATTTATTTAGCTTACAGGGACTTGCTCAGTATCACATAAAACGCGGTTCTGAAAAAACCTCTACGTCCTCCAGAGTAACATCCAAAGTCAGTTAAAAATTCTAATTCTGCACCTCCATTTCAGTTCTGAAAAGGATTATTCAACAAACAATAGATCGGCTAAGCCAACTACAAGAAAACCATTTCCACTAGAACTTAGTAACTAGTACAAAAACATTAGCACTTAGTTAAGTTACGTTGAGAAAACCATCTTGTAATATCTCCTTCCATAAAAAACCCTGCGTAAATGTCCCTTGAACTGAGGTGTACAGATAAGTTATTTTCTCCTTTCATTATATTTGACTTAATTTTATTTAGATAAACAACAATGTATTAAATAAAACCAGTTTCCACACACCTGGCCACAATGAAATTTTAAATTAGAACTATATTTTAGCTAGCGGGCCCCACATAGCAATACCTGCCAAGGATCCGGCTATGCGTTTGCACGCGTGAACATGGGTGACCCCTGTTCTAGACCCGTGGCGATGTCCCTATAGTGCAAGAAACAAGCAGCAATAAATGCACCTGTTTTGGACGCGAACGTTTGGACGCGAACGTTTGGACGCGAACGTTTGGACGCGTTCGCTCGCACTTACCCGATTGACGTAGGCGCCTCTCTGCAGCAAAAGGGCAACGAAGTACGGGTTGGAGCTCCGCACCGCCGCGTGCAGCGCCAACGTCCCGTCCGCATCGGGCTGGTCCACCGATGCGCCAGCCGCCAGCGCCCGCTCCACCCCTTCCACGTCGCCCTCGGCCGTCGCGCGGATCAGCTCCCCCGCTAAATGCTGCGCTGCCTGCTCCTCCATCGCCTCAGCCACCTCGCGCCTTCTACACAGCACACCGATCGCGCGTTATGCACCAGACACAAGGGCCAAAGCTTCTTTCCTCTTGGCAGATCCTCACCTCTTCTCAGCCAGAAACAGCCTCGAAAGACATAAAATTTCACGTTTGGATTGATTTTATCGCCAATTTAATTAAATTTTAAAAATACAACCACAATTCTCACATTATTTCGTAAAACACATATTGGCATATGAACAAACAATTTTGGACAAATTTGTATTATTTAGTGCACATTAATGTGTTACAATTTAAAACTTTTCAAAATTTAGTTACAGACATGAGCACAAATGATAAATAGTTTTGAATCTCATAACGAGAGCAGCGACTTTTTTTAGTCCATTAGGGGATATACACGGACCAAATTATTGTGATAAATTGTACCAAAATATCGTTAGAGAAATTACAACATTTAATTTAACATAAAATAGACAATAAACATAAAAATAAATTACAAAGTTTTATTGAACGAATATTTCTTCGCAATTAATCTGTCCAATTTATTTACGTATGTGTTCGTTACCACTATTTGGTCATATCTAGTCAATTTATCTGTGATCGGTGATCCTAGATCGCCGGTTTCGCCAATTTATATGATTCACCAATAAAAACGACAAACAATATAAGCAAGAAATTACATAAAAACTTATCGTTCCGCATTATTACCTTTATTTATCGTACTTTATTAATTTTATACAGTTCCCTAACGAAACTTTTTCTGCACAATTTTGGAAATGAAACTATAAAATCCTCAAATTTGTCGATAAATTGGTCCGTGTATATTCCCCTATTAATATGATAATTTGTAGTTAATTTAATTAATAATTATTATGATAATTTTAGTTTCATCTATTTTTAAAATACCTCTGAAATATTCATCACTTAAGTTACATCTGTACTTAAACTTCACATAGGCCTACTTCATTTTCGAGAAAGTCTGTTCACATCTATAACTTGTATAAAATATTTACAAGAAACTCCTAGAATTTTTTTTTAAAATTTTGTATAAATGTCCGTTGGAAATTGTTTGAAGAATTCAATCACATTTCTTTCTTAGCGTTTGCACCGCACTGCATCAGCGTTGAGGTCAATTATTTCCATTTATATAGCTACAGGGACTTGCTCAGTATCACATAAAAGCGGGTTCTGAAAACCTTACGTCTCCAGAGTTAACATCAAAGTCAGTAAAATTAATTTTGACCTCCATTTTCAGTTCTAAAAAGGATTTTCAAACAAAATAGTGGTAGCAACTAAAGAACCATTTACAGCACTTAGTAACTAGTACAAACTTAGCACTTAGTTAAGTAGTGAGAAAACCATTTGTAATAATCTTCTTTCCATAAAAAAAACCCTGCGTAAATGTCTTGATATGAGTGTACAGATAAGTTATTTTCTCCTTTCATTTATTTTATTAATTTTATTTAGATAAACAACAATGTATTAAATAAAAGCCAGTTTCCACAATCTGGCCACAATGAATTTTAATTAGAATATATTTTAGGTTAGCGGGCCACATGCAAAGGATGGGATATGGCGTGCAGGTGACATGTGTGACCCCTGGTCTAGACCGTGGCGATGTCCTATAGTGCCAAGAAACAAGAGCAATCAATGCGACTGCATTTTGTTATCTACACGGTATCATTCTAAAAAATACTTTCCGTGGTTTCAAAAAGGAACATGCAAAGGATGTTCATCAATCCCTTTGGTTGCATCAATCCCTCTTAAAGGCCCGAGGGTTGCATCAATCCCTCTTAAAGGTCTGATACTACTTGTGTGTACAACCGCTTTACCGCACACGATTCATTTCTTGCTATTTGCGGATTGTCGTTTGCATATATTAATAATCAATACTTAGTTCCTATTATTTTAGGGGTATTTTCTGATGACTTGAAAATAAAATTTAAAAAATCGTTAAATCACAAATTCTTTGATTGTCAATAAATAATGACTATTATAAACCTCAAGGCGTCTTAGTTCTCCATCCTATAGTCCTTTTCTCCGAGTTGAAAGCCTCTGAGAAACTAACCAATTATTTTTAAACTGCAATTGAAACTTTTGCGGCTTCTTTGCAATGTTTTACAGGTGATTTAATTGATTTAATATACGGTAATAATGTTTAAACAACGAGAGTATTTTCCCCCTTGGGTGCGTTGCTCAGTTTTGGAATCAAAAATTTATCGCGTCCGTTTGTGGCTAAGTCCAGCTTCACACATTCTAATCCGTCGTGTTATACAAGCATTGGTTTTTGGAAAAATATTTTTACAAAAGAGGAAAGCACCTATTAAATAAACTGAAAGAGTCGCAAAAAAACAAATTACATATATCATTTGTATCTACAGTATTGTAAATCTCCCATGATTCCTGCCTTAAGTAGTTATGAATAATTTTATTTTACTTTTGGTGCAAATATCTAAGAATTGCATTATGTAATTTTTTCATATGTAAATAATTATGTAAATAATTTTGGACAATATTCCACTTCTTTCGATCAGTTGTCACACAATGTTCGGAACAATAACGGGTAATCAGCCTGGATATGTTGCGTATTCTCTGGGTAAGATGTGAAACTGTGCCCGCACGAGCTTCTTATCCTGGGAAGTCCGGCTATCGTACGAGTACTGACACGTTTCCCCTCCAAATCGATAGGAGAAATGTGAGCTGAAGCCGTTCGAGGCGGGGAATCGCGACTTCACACGAAACATTTTCCACATTTGTTTCTTCATATACTAGTATTCTGTTTAAATTCTTTCATATTCTCTATTATTGATGAATATATAATTTTTAAATTCAACCTTTTATAAACATTTTGAATTAGTGCTAGGAATTCATTTCGATTGCGTATTCTTTCCTTGTTTTAGTTTTGTGTTATGAATTAATAGAACGTTCTGTTTTTTGTTGCATATATCAATAATGTAAAATAAATTATTTATATCTCAATTAACAATTCTTGATAAGGCGCGGATAGTACTTTCAAAGCCAAGAATCTGTCTACTAAGCATTCTAACTTCACCTTACGAAGATAATACAATTACTGAACGGTAGAAAAAAGGCTACGCTATTGAAAAGTTGTAATCTGACTTATTAATTATTTCCTTTTAATTCATCTTTTTGATTTTTAGAAGAGATGGGGATTAATATAGTCATGTTTGGGGAATAGATGTCATTTGATTTCTCCGAACTGTCATGGGCCAGGTATTCAGTGACGACCGCCATCCGGAGGAATTTGCGTGCTAATAATATAAATTATATGACAATTTGCGTGCTAATTATTATATACTTTAAATATAAGTTATTTTCTACCTTTTAAATATCATCCCAGTTACTCTGGATACAATGCCCGCCAACTAAAGCTGGTTACATTGCTCTTAACCTTGACATGCCTGCTTCATATTCACAATGTGTCGAACCTTTACGAATTTTATATAAATGTGTACATTTCAGAAACAAGTGACACTTCCAAAATTTGATAATTTTTCTTTACGAATATTACTTTAAATGAGTTTTTCGCACTTTTGCACTGCTCAAATCTACCGAAATGTGATAATATATTTCACGTGGTACAAAATAAGGATACAATTTTTGATTCAGGCCATGTTAATTTTTCATTTCAATTCATTTCGTTTCGTTTATGCGAACTGATCCTATTCAGGATACCTTGACTTTTTGAAAATTTACAATGCCCACTGTTGCAATGCCCCGTAGCCTTTGATTTTTAACATTTGATTTAACGTAATATAAACTATTCCTTATTTTCCCGTTCTTAAGCTCACAATTAAGAGCATTGAAACGCGACAATTGAGGAAGAATCTTCAAACTATGTAGCAACCCTGTAAATAGTTAATACAAAAGCAATGGTATTTATTATTAGTATAATTATAGTTACAATTTCATTCTCCTTGTGTGTAGTATTTAATCACTATTAATATAGGTCTTAAGTAAATAATGTTTAATGGCAAAGGGAGCCCAGGGGGGCCATTAATATTGTCGACCTTCCCTCTTATTGACTAAGCAAATGTGACACCTTAATCACTATGGTGCAATACTTTGCCCTGATAATTTTAATGCACCTCTGCAAAATACATATTGACAAGACTTAGAAGCATTAATTAATAATTAAAGAACTTTTGTCAAAATATTCATTCGTATGCAAAATCATTACCTTTGCGAAGAAAATAATTTCGTAAACTTTTTCCGTTTCAAGTCAGAACGGAGTAATGAATATGAACATGCTTGACTTCTGAGATTATAAATGACACGGTAACGAATGTCTTTGTTAATAATGGATAACTAGCTTGGAAATAGTGTTAAAGTCGAAAATTTGTTTTGGGGAATGAGGAAATTACTAAATTCAATTTTATACATGTTTACAAAGAGAAAAATTTCTGGAAAAGAGGGAAAATCTGGAAAACCGAGGGTTATTTAAACACAAAAAAGGCTGAAGTCTAGTATACGGTACAACTTACGGAAGTCGTTTACCGGCACTTCGCGCCGCTCCTGCGGTAACTGAGCAGTTGGAATTTTGGAGGCTTTCTTGAAGTGTTTTCTTATAAAAGTGAATAGGTAACTATGCGGTGGATAGGCTCAAGGATGTTTGAAGTGAACGCGAGAACCGAAGGCCCGAGCCTCGCCGTGACCTGGATCCCGAGCGAAGCCAGAAAACTTGTTTCTGAAGGTAACTTGCCATTACAATGCAACAGGTATAAAGCATTGAAGCGTATGAATTGCGAGACAAAAAAAATCGCACGAACATAAGTTTTATTCATTTCTATCAAAGAGCGTAGTGTTATTTGAGGGAGGGCTTAACAAGACCCCGCCGCCACTTCTGAGGGTGTACCGTGTACCCTACTGTAACAAAAAGTGAGGAAACTCCTCAGAAAAAATTGAGCATTGTATGCGAACTTGAGCCGTGGCTGAGGGAAAGCAATGCGTACCGAAGAGAAGGGACGAATAGTAAGTTAAGGTTCTAAAAATACTGGATTTTTTTTCAAAATTAAGCAAGGTCTCTAAAACAGCAACAATCTTCTGATGTAATGAAAAGTGATGATTTTGCATCTGTCTAATTCTTTTCGAACAGTATAGTATTGTATCTAACTGTTGCACTTATTGCCTCAAATTTCAGGAGTGAAATCGTCCGTGTAACAAGGATTATTGAAACACGACCTTACAAATCAAAACTGTTCGTCTATACAATTCATTACGACATACATATTCCAATCCTTACCAATGAGCCGTGTAATATTCGGCGTAATATATAAATACACACACACGTGCGCGCGATTTAAATTTCGGTTATCAACCACTTTTCTAATTCCATGAAGCCAGGTTCGCCGAAACGTAAAGTGGAAACCGTATAATTAATTTCATATTCCTTACTGCTCGTCTGACCCCTTGAGAGTCAACACTTAACATTATCCAAACAACCATATTTACACTGGTGTAGATTCCAGATGCAAATATTTTTTAATCAAGACACTTCGTATTCTCACTGTGCAAGTCCCATTAAGTGTTGACATATGAATTTTTTCAAACCTGTATAATAATTTTAGTTCCAACAAACAAGTTTCTTTGATGGCGGCTAAATTTAATTTATATATTAATAATACTATATAGTCTCAGGGTTAATCAAAAGACTTGCTTCGCCTCACAAAAACCTTACGTTACCTGTTTATGTTACCTCCTACAGTTGTCTTAAGATAAGTCGTGTATTACACGAGCGATGCGTTGACGCGCGTTAAAGAAATGCGCGTCGTAGATTGCAACTTATGCGGGACGACCAAGGAGTTCGTGTGCCCTTTCTTCAGTTACACCATTTACACCGTTTCGATAGTGTTATTCTGCGACGTGCATTACTTAACAGGTGTCAACAACGCTCGTAAGCAGAGGCGATTAATCTGTTACAAAATATATCTGGAAATGTAATAAATAGGATATTCCAATGCGTTATGTTTGAACATTGACCACTGTATCGAGGTTTTTAAGTTAATTCCTCGAAATCAAACTGCTGTTTGGATACATTCCAAAAGTCTGTACGAATTAAAAAAAATTACTGAGTAAAAATACTTTACTCCCATTGACTTTCTACCGTAAAAGAATTTGCAAGTTGTTGTGAAGACTCATTTATGGCATGCACGAAACTTAGGAGCAAAACAAATTTGCATTTCCTACACTTCCAATGCGCCAATGTAATGATTCCAGTTCCAATGTGAAATGCGCCGATCTCAATATGAATAATATTTAAACACCAATATAATGCACTCTTTCTAGAATCTGAGTAGCATAGGAGTTCACTGGATCCAAATTAGAAATTTGTTTGCTAGCGTCTGTCGGTACAGCAGAAGGACCCTCTCCGAGGCATCCGAATACACTCCCGTGCTACGTGCCGTATTTTGACCTTGTAAGAGTCAAAACCCTCTAGCCTTGGGTGGGCCGCGGAGTTTTCATCACGCGTAAACGAGGTCAACACCGAGAATAAAAGAGTGCGTCGCAATACGGAAACAGTTGCATTTTTCAAACCGTTTGATTTGAGAGTTTCAATATTTTTGGGGGGGGGGGCATTACCACAACACTTTTGCGCGGCGATGGTGTAACAGCGTATCGGACTGTTGTACCCAAGTTGTACCCATCGAAACCGTGGATGTTTAAGGGCGAAAAAATCCATCGTACGCCTCCTTCGGAGGGGAAGTAAAGCCAGCTGTCCCATGTTAGATTTACTTGCAGGTAAAAGATCCTCAAGCCGAAATGACGCCTCTGAGCTAAATTGAAATCTCCTGTTTCTCGCCCAAGAAATACCCTCTTTCTCTCTGCTAATTGGTGAAAGAAGCGTAGCGAAATTTGCGTGGTCAGACGGAAGAGCAGGCCTCATGGCCTGAGTCTCGCCACGTAAAATAAGGCATTAATTCAATTCAACACCTACCAGAAAGGCACTGCCAATATATTGGCTTCTCTGAGTACTTCAAACGCTTCTCTCAGCGACTCTTTCCTATCCCAGCATTACCAGGCATCTGAAGTTATGAATTTTTTTTTTTTAAATTTCAAATCTGGTTTCGGGAATCTAAGTTTCAAAACATTTGTTTCTAGGTACCACCCCTCATTTAATAAAGTTTCATAATTAGTCATATTTTGACCCTTGGCGCCACTGATCTTGCATATTCCATTTAATTTAAAACCTTTTTAAAAATGGTGCATGATTTTCGAAAATATTTTCCGAAATAAGGTTAGTTAAGTTTAATGAACGGTACACCCTTAGAGAAGCTTGGCGGCGGGGCTTAAGCACTAATCACTGTACGTGCTCTAATAGAAATGAATAAAACGTACGAATAGGAGATTTTCATGGCTAGCCCTTTACACGCTTTGTCCCTGCCGCATTGTACCGCCAATTAACTTTCAACGGCAAGTTTTCTCGCTTCGCTCGCCCGGATCCAAGTCACGACGAGGCTCGGGCCTTCGGCCCTCGCGTTCACTATAAACATCCTTGAGTCTATCCACCGCATATTACCAATTCACTTTTATAAGAAATCACATTTCAAGAAAGCCTCCAGAATTCTATCTGCCTAGTTAATGCCGGAACGGCGCGAAGTTCCAGTTTAAACGACTTCCTTAGGTTGTACCGTATACTACATTTCAGCCATAAGGTTTTTTATTTAGAATTAAAATCCTTCGTGAAAATATTACGATGAAAAATATTTTAATCTGAATTTTTATTTCATAAATTTAGAAATGAAGCAATTAAATTCTACTACTTAATTAAACGGGGGGAAATGGTAGTGTAGAGGAGTTGGAAAGATTGACCATTTTTAAAAAAGATGTCCAACTTTTTGAACAAATTTTTATTTTATTTTGCTGGAAGGCACTTTTTACTATTTTACTCTGCTAAATAAACGCATTAAAAAAGAAATATGGAAACTGCAGAGAAAACGCAGGGAAACATTCAAATGACCAGTAAGCACCCGTAACAAGATTCATTTGTAATAACGATTATAATGAAATATTCTGCACAGGCAACCGTAATAACGTATTTTTCCCATGAAATGTTATTCTAAAAATATATTCTCTCAAAAACCGAAATTTTATTCCAATAAAAAATGAAATTGTAATACACTCACCTGAATACAACGGAAACAATGCGAACTGTTGCGGTTTTGAGTAGATCTGCTCTTCAGGTCAATAGATTGTCACATGCAGGCTTTTCCTTACTGTCGTAGCTCCACTGCAGTACGCCACAAGATCCAACACCTGCTAGACCCCACGGACGCACTACACCACAATTCTCTTAGGACTGGACCGATTTTGGCGCATTAATACGTGCTGCAGAGAGAAATATGTAACATTACGCCACTCCAAATAGCGCTACCAGCAAGAATTCACGAACCATGTGATTAATTGGTCCCTTTAAATTAAGTTTTATTTTTAAAAAATCAGAGAGAGAGAGAGGAAGAGAGAGAATTCATATGCCAATTATTATATACACGACCAATTATACATAATACATTTTTATTTTTCTTCTTCTAGCAACATCCAGTTGTAATGAATTCCACAAGCAAAATTCCCGGACTTCATTTGCAAAGTTGCAATAGCAATAGAATTTTTAACAAAAGTGTGAGTTTTTCACACTTCATGTAAAATAAACGAAAAATAGTAGTCCAAGCGGTGCATACTTTCTAGCATTGGGACCTTTTATGTAAAATTGTAATAATGCAATTTCTGCCCAGATCAACACATTTTATTCATAACTCATTACCAATCGCAAAACCTCGCCTTACCAATCGTAGCGTTCGGTGTGTAGTTTCGTTTCATTTTAACCTAGTACACCGAAAATTCGATAATCCAAACTGCGTTCCCTACATCCAGAAACACCACCCAATAATGAGAAATTATTATCAGAATTTCTAAGTGCAGTGTCGCGGTTTTGCCATTACTGAATGCATTCTGATAACTCTAGAAAGATTCTTCAAACGAAATGCTAGAAATAGGTATTTGTAATTTCAAAAGTTGCAAAAATTACGATAAATTACTAATATTAAAAAAAACGACAAAAAACATTACCATATTGAAAAATCTAATTTTGAAGAAAACATTTCTTTGAGAAAAATATATCCATCATCAATATTGTACTTTTACGATTTTTGTTTTGCAATTTTTAAATATATAGTGACGGGTGTACAGAAAAAGGGATGTTGGCCATTTTACGGGCGTAGTTTAATCTATTCCAAAACAAGTCATAAATTAGAGCAGTTTTGGGGAAAAATCTTTTTTAAATATTTGCTTTCTTACAAGTCAAATTACGCAAAAACACTCAGGTTTTTTAAGAACCGTCTCATTCAAGGCCTTGTTTTAAAGCCAAGGTAGCCAAGTTCTGTTAGTAATGAACTGATTTCATTAAAAAATTTAGATCATCAATATTGTAGTTGTAGTCATTAGAGGAATGGATATAGGTTCTGATTATTTCTTGGTACGAGGGAAAGTTGGTCTGCCAATTAGATGTGCAAAAGTAAAGCACATAAATAAAAATGTAAAGGAAAAAGTATGGAAAATTAATCTACTAGAAGATGCAAGTGTTAGAAAACTTTTCCAAACACGCATAAATCTCTATATGGAGACAGGTCCTATAAGTATGGACATTAAATTAGACTGCCATAAGCTCCTTTAACTAATCGAAAGGTAGCCTCTGAAACTCTTGGAAAGAGGAAAAAATATAAAACCACAAAAGGAGTAAATATTTGGAATGAAGCACTATATTTACAGAGACTGACGAAGGAAACTCCTGAGGCGTTAGAAGATTGTAGAGCTCCGAGATAGTAAACCAAAGCTCTAGTTACTGCTGCACATACGGAGAACTTAGATATACATGTCTCAAATATTGAAAATGACGTGCATGGTCGCCAGGATACGGCTTATAAAATACTAAAACATTTAAATAGATTAGAAAAAGACACAGAAAACTTGGAGCTTCTTAATAAAGAAGATTAGCTTTAATATTGCAAATCACTCTGGTGTGAAGAAAATATAGATTGCAAATACGAAGAGCCTGAAGAGAACGACACATGCTCCTTCGCTATCGATAGAATAGAATTCAAGAAATTACAGGAGGCTCTACAAAGCTGGAAACATCGAAAATCCCTTGAAAATACAATAATATAAGAAATTTATCAATTTGTTTTTTACTTCTTCTTAGGTATTAATTTAATAGATATATATAATATATATTATATATATATTATATATATATATATATATATATATATATATGCTTTAAATACCTCAGAAGAAGTAAAGAAATAAATTGATAAATTTCTTAAATCAATGCTGGTAGCAGTCAAAAATACCAACTGAATGGAGGAAAGCAATAATAGTTCCTATTTTTAAAAGAGGCTCACGAACAGACTGAAAACTACCGAGGTATACGTTTTTGAACACGGCATACCAAATATACGCGAAAATAATTGTAAATATGCTCAGAAACATCATTTAAAATGTATTTTTGGAATAACAAACGGGATTAAGGAAGGGAAGATCTTGCTCGGATATTATTTTTTTCTCAAGCAATTGATAGAAAAATATGTAATATAATTTGAAAGACTTCATTGCTTTTATTGATTACAGAAAAGCAAATGATGTTCTCAGTACAAGTAAATTGTGGAATGTACTGGAGAAAAGGACAATACCACTATATCTAATTAGAGTTATCCGCAATATGAGTACAGGTACACGGATCAACGTAAAACTAAAATCACGGTATCAGGGTATAAACCAATCTATAGCGAGCCTTCTACGAATTGTACAAAACAGCAAAGCACTACAATTTGCATATATCTTCCAGAAAAAGAAGTCCATGTCGTTCCAAGGTCTCACTCCGTAAGATGTAAGCTCGTTTTAGTAGATAAGACAATTGAACAAGTAAATACTTTTTGATTTCTAGGATGTGAATTATCATACCTTGGATAAGTTCATATTGAAAGAAAGATCGAGAGATTCAACTTTATGTGAGGCACCATTAAAAGGACTCTCAGATGTAAAGTACGAACAAACACAATACTGAAATTTTGCAAAGTTATGGCAGTGCCTTGTGAGCAATATGGAAGGGAAAACTGGGTAATAAATTCCAAATCCTTCACCAGAGTTCAGGCTGCTGAAATGATATTTTTGAAGTCGATCTTAGGAATAACACGAATAGACCGATTGAAAAAGGCGACCATCCGGGAAAAGCTAGGAATTTACAATCTAAAGGACCACATCAAAGAATTTAAAAAGGAAATGGAAAAACCATGTACTAAGGGTGGAAAATAATCGTTTACCTAAGCAACTTCACTTGTACCCACCTCGAGGGAAGAGAAGCATTGGCAGACCCAAAAGAAGATGGAGAGATCAATGAGTCGCAATGGACCAGCAGGTCTAATGCCTGAAGGAAAAGAAAAAGGCAGTGATTTCTTCGAGAAAAAACTCTACCTATTAACTCTGTATCAAATGTATTCAGAGCTCTTGCAAAAAGGGTTGTACGTCTGAAAGCAAATATTCTTTTAAAACTTGTAATAGGCATATTTAGTATTTCTAAAATCATAGGGAACAAATGTTAACTAATGCATTATTATATCGTTGTCAAAATAAAGAATATTTTTCTTTTTGATGGTCAGAATATTCTATAACAGCATAGAAACTGTAATGCAGCGCAGAGATATTTTACTGGCATTTTGATTACACTTGTGTATCAATTTCAAATGTTTAACGTCATTTAGCAATGTGTTATAAAGTAACATACAATATTACATGTGAATTTCGTTCCACGAGGTGTTGATACACCTGATTAACATTCCAGAGACTTGTGGTATAATTACAAATATTTGTATTCCTTAAAAATACAGTATGTGCCACCCTTAAGAATGTCATTTATGACAATAACCACAGATTCGTAAATAAATGGGCACGACAATGGTAAGATTACAATACCTGTTATCGCTCTGAATGAGTACCAAATTATTGTATATTATAATTGAAATGCAATGTTCTTTCGATTTGATTGATTACTGATTATTCTGGGCACGGCCACTGCTAATTTCGTTAGTCCTGTTCGTGTGATGCATTTTTCTCAGGAGGTGGTGCGATCCGGCGCCGACCACCTGGTCGACTAAAAGGGTTTTCCCAACCCCAGGTATCTCCAACCCCAGGGGAACCTGGGACACCCAGCTGGAACAAGTTATAACCTTCTGCCACGTGTAGTAATTTAGTGCATGTATGGGTGAGTACGAGTCGAATTAGCACAAGGATTGGGAATGAAAAATCGCACGCGTTCCCTTTGCTTGGATACTACTCCGGCATTCACCTAGTGTTGATCGCAGAAACCACGGAAAATTACTGTCCACGGCGGCCGGCCGCGACAATTCCCCCCCCCGAGAGAGAGTGGTCCCGACCTAGCTATCAAAGTAATTTCGATAATCCTGCCTCCGTCGGGACTCGAACCTAGGACCTACCGACCAGAGGCACTGTAGTTACATCAGTTGATGACCACAGTCACCTCTCCTGGAACGATGTCCATTCGAATTCACTGTGATTGAAATTTACTGTGATTAAAATCGTGAAAAGGTTGTATAGCGTATAATTACTGTTTTCTTACGTGAAGATGTACAAGAGTTGCAGGAGGTCAACATGAAACACGATACGCAACGTGACGTGGGGAGTGGGGTATCCTTTTTTCCTGAAATTAGTTTTACGCAATTTATGCGCAGTTCCTTACCTTGCGTTCGGACTTTGTCAACATCTTTTTTGTCTCTGTCATCTTCAATAAGCTCCTCTTATTCTTAGAATGTCAAATTAAAATTAATAGCCCCTTTGGCGCAGTGGAAAGCGCGTTGGATTCCGACTCCAAAGGTCGTGGGTTCGAATCCCACAAGGGGCGGCAATTTTTTCCCGCAAGCACAATTTTTCACGCAGCAACAGGGTAAAACTGATGCGCTTAACTGCGCTTTCACGAGGAGTCACTAAATGAATATGCCGAATACGGTTGGCAGTTGGCCCGTCTGACGGGAAAGAAGTGGATGACCTTGAACGCATTGTGGACGTGCTAGTACAGCAGTGTGTTAACAGGTAGCAGTGACAGCTGTCGCCATTGCTGGACGCGACCGTGAAGCACGGGCGCCCCGCTGTGTTTAAATCGTTTGTCACGTGGACTACGATATTTATGATCGTATATTAACACCGCAACAGCGTCTTGGCTTGAACTTAACCGTCGTTTTGGGGCAGGTCTGATTTATACTCAAGAAATTAAAAACTAAGCAATCATTTTATCATTGTAACAATGTTTTTCACGAATAAAATA